TCATATGAAGCTAGCTCCATCGGCTTTCACTAGATGCTAGATGCACTATTAGATCCAGCTAGATGTATGAAGCTAGCTGCATCGACTATTACTAGATACACAGTTATTTATTTATTCTTTAAAAATCGCTTATTTGACAAATTGTTTCTTCATCTCACACCGATCGTCTAGTATAGTAAAACGGAACTGATACTAAAAATCAGTTCAGACGCTTTCTGTGTTAAATCTGAAACATAACATACAAAAGAAGAAAAAAAGGAATATTATAACATATCGTGCTTGATCAATTTTAATTCGAAATAGTAGTGTTAAAAAGAGTCTGCGTGTAGAATAGTTTCAAAGAAAAAACGCATTTCTAACTTTCGGTTTTTTCAACCAGAAGAAAAACCCTTCTCCGTATTATGAAATACGATTTCTAATTGAGAAAACTAAAGTAAATATTAGATGGTTTTCGGTAAACTGAAAAAAAATCTTTTGATAATTCAAAACTCTACAAAGTATTTTATAACACTAAAATCGTTTTTTCATTTCCATAAAAACCCATTTTTTTTTGGTCTAAGACTATGGTTTTTTATTTTGTCTCGAAAACGGTTACGGAACGTATTATAAGAAACTCGAAAGTTTTACCAACAATTAAAAACCATTTTTTCGTTTTTTCGGAATGGAATCAAAACGTTTAAGGGCCCCTCCCCCCTCAGAAATGGTGATTTTCGGTCAAAAGATCGATTTGTCAAAGATCGATATGTTTATTACCACAGATAAATTTTAAAAGATTCGGAGTCCGGTTTTTCGGGGGATCTTTGGAAAACTATTTCACAATACCAAAATGCAACGTAGTGATATTTAACTTTTTACATGATTAGATAGCCCAAAGTGTCCTCTATAGAATCCAAGCTAAGCTACCTTTTAGTCTTTTGTGGTTTAGGCGTGGCATCAGGTTTCCTCGAAGCCTCAGGATCGATATTTCGTCATAAAATGGATTTTGAGATACACACATGAAAAGATAGCCTGAAGTGTCTGCTTTCAGAATATATACGATTGGAGAATATATACGATTGGAGACTATATTAATGGTTTTTGAGGGGATTTTCAGAGGCTTTCAGCGGACCCCTTATAGGAGAACTTGGTATTTATCCCGATCTGACGTCATTTAGAAGGACCTGTTATTCCTTAAAATCTGTTTTCTCACAGAAAGAACTTACAATGGTGCTAAATTCAATTCGTAAGTGAATGAGCGTAATAAGAGTATAAAAGGGCTTTATAGAATAGAAAAGACGGAATAGTAGAATAGTAGAGACGGTTTAGAGGGATTTATTGCAAATCTAACATTGCTCCTCCAGAATAAATATATAGAATGATGCGTAATTGAGTAAACGCAGTATTCTAAAATGTATTTGTACTGTTTTATTATATACGCTAATCTACACAATAGACACATACTAAACATAAGAAGAGAAAAACCTACTGTTTATGTTTTAAAAGCATGAATAAAATCATCTAATGAAAGTTTAATTGAATTTTTGTGATAAACATAGTCTTGTATATCAGATGGATATCGGCACCGGATGAGTTGCTTGACGAGTGGTGGCCATTCATATGTTACAGCATTTTTTCAACCATGCATTCGTTTTTGTTTTGAAAAGATAAGTTTGTACAATTCATCATACAATTCTTTTCTTGCTTATGCATCAGCGGCTGTTTCTAAACCTAAACCAGAAGTATTACTATTACGATTATTATTTGTATTATTGTTGTTCTTGTTAGCAGAACTAGTATTTGTATTGGTGGTAGTATTTGTTAGAAGAAGAATATCGTCCAATTCGGATGGAATGTGTTGAAAACCATGATCAATAAATTTTTGTAGAAGATAATTGTAACACAAATGAAAATTATCCATAATAGAATCAACTAATCTACAATCGAAATAGCAGATACAATGACTGCAGCCAGAAGAAGATGGAATAAAAAATGTGTGAAACAGAATAGTTAATTTACAAACGTGGTGCTAATGTATTTACCAAATAAAATAAAGTTTATTATGCAAATATAGTCATAACAGCTTGAAATAGAATAACAAACAAGAGTAATATATACGATGATCAATATATATAACAAAATGGCAAACAAATAATACATAAACTATTTTAAAAATACTGTTAAAAAAGAAGAAATCACTATTCTAATATTCACCAGGAACATAATCGTTAGAATTATCGATCATACTGTATAATACATCTATATCACCACTATCAAAATCACTATCATCATTATTATTAGCAATAGCTGTTTTTTGTTTTATTTTTCTTATTGTTTCTTTATGCTGTATATAAATACGTGCTTTATCAATACGCTTCAATGATATTATTGTAAAATAACCAACTTCACCTAAATTAAGAATGATTTGTGTTGAAGGATTTTGTGTTGAACCATTTAACACACGTTTTAGATTTTCTTCTGATGCTAATTCTTGAAAGACCGGTTTTACTGCTTTCATTACTGCGGGTGGCAATGCATGACTTGAATGATCATAATCTTCACCTACAGAAGAAAAAAACAGGTTTCCAAGTTTGCTAAAATGAAGTCGTGAAATGTTCCTTGATTCGCATTTAGCCATTTTTACCTAATTGTAAACTTTTCCAGTAACCACAACATTTTGGATCACGCCACTTATGATATGGTTCTTCGTTTGTTGAGACCTACAGATAATAAAATCGGCGTTAAGATATTCGCACACTTTTTTTAAGCACTTTTCTGTCGTTACTTTATATTTATATATTCCCCATGTTCTTTTGATCATCATTTCTAAATTTGTTTTATTCTCACTAATTGCTATTGCATATTACCATTTTAATTTTATCATTTGTTCTGAACATCAAAGACGGATATGAAAAAGGATGTTAGAAAACGTATCCATTATTTTTTGACTAGTTTTTCTTACCCTTTGTCATTTTTCCTCTGCCACCAATTCCTTTTTTTCCATCAATAATTGTCTTTCAATTCATTTTTTATTTTTTCTAATCTATTCAACAGTTTCTTTGACCAATGATTTATATCTTCGATTTTTTGAATTTCAACGTTATCATATGGTGGTTCTTCGCGTAATCGTGGCATTATTTTAGAACCACCATCACCGATGTATCTAAAACAAATATCAATTTAAAAGTCCTTAGTCTTTTTTTATCAAAATAAATTCGAATAAAAATTAGCTTGAATTACAAATTTTTTTAAGCATACGTACTTCGTATATCTTACTGAATATTTTAATTGTGATCGTTTAAATAATTCATGTATTCCTATATTGTAAAATTATAAAAACGTTTAGTAGTTCTAGTAAAGTCAGATCGTTTTTTTTATGTTTACACCATCGATCACATGTCATTCGTTATTTACCTGATGAACCAATGAAATTTGCTTCACATACATCGTTTTTGATAATATGTTTATATTTTTCTTTATCAGAATGTTTCATGCTAAGGGTACCTTGACATCTTGAGCATTTTTTGGAATAACGAATAGTATCAATTATTTTGGCTGGTGTGTTCGATGAAATAATAGTGGAAACACCATGAACACTAGAAAAGTCACGCTTTTGCCAAGATCCATCGCCACTAACAGTTAAATCAGTTGTACCACTACTTTTTATAGCATCATCAACAACATTTTTCATTGATTCATTTTACATTGACTAACAAATGGTAATATATATTTATCTAAATGTGTATAATGATCTTCATCGACTGGTGGTGGTATATTCATTATTCCAAACCAGATGGGCGAGTCAAGCCATTTTTCGAGTCGAGTCCGAGTCGAGTCATCAGTGTTCTCGAGTCGAGTCAAGATATTTTTGCCATTTTTTCGTTTTCTGTTTATTTTTATAAAGAAAATTAACAAGTTTTTCGTGACACAATATTTAGTTCCTAGTTCTTAATTCACGAAAAAAACAAAGTCCT